TCTTTACTGTATAACCTACTTTTCTTTTTAATTTACAGTACCAGTAAATTTTATGACGATAGCATTATCTTAACGATTCTTATTTTTAACCCTAACAGTGTGACATAGATAATTTTTACACGAATATTATAATTTATGTTTAAAAAACATAATAATGAAAAAAATTTAATAGAATTATGTATGTAATTTGTTAATAAATCAATTATTAGCATGAAATAATAATTAAAGAAGAGTGTAACCGTTTTAAAACTTTATAAAATAAACGAAATCAATAAGCATGAATCAATTTTTTTAAATTGAGATTTTAAAATCAAAATGTGAAGTACAATAAACTGTTTTGGCTTTTCATTAAGCAGTTACACTACGATGTAGCAGAAGAAATTAGGGAATAATATTTAATCATGACACTGAGACACTAAAACTCTTTAAAATTAAATTCTTGTAATAACTACCATTCAAAATGGGATTAGTTTCTTTTTTTTTTTTTTTACTAAAACGTGGTGATGGTATAAACAAAATTTTATTACACTTGACTCTTGTAATATCAGTACTTTATCACGACATAAAAGAGGCTTATGTAATATCTTAATATAAAACATGCATATATAACTTATACAGCAGCATCAAACACCACTTGTGATAATCAAAATGGCACCAGATACAGTGAACAAACATTATTTTTTTGTATAATTTATCTAATTACAAAGCTCATACTTACTTTTTAATAGTAATAGATGTAGCATCGTATTTTATAGTTTAAAAATAAAAATAAAAACAAATTTTAATTATTCTACTTATTAATATTACTTTATAAAAATTGTCATTAAGTAATTTTTTTGTAAACTGATTCAAATGCAATGTAATTTAAAACGATAAAATAAATTTTGAAAATTATATCAGTTGATATTAAAGTCCATTAATTTTTTTTTTTTTCCAAAAATTAAATGATTGTAATTATTCTAGGTGAAATATACAACAAAAAAGGTTATTGTTCTTTATCGAACATACATAAACATAACAGTAAAATCGATTTATTAATTTAATGCTTATCCAATTAATTTATTTAATGTGAAAAATAATAGGTGCCTAATTATATACAATTCTTAGAGCTTATGGTTTATTACATCCTTAATTATTTTCAAAACCATTATTATGCCTTCTAACGAATTTAAAATTTATAATAAAAAAAAATAATCGTTCGACTAATTACTTTAAAAAAAATTTTTTTTTTTTTTCAAAAATATAATAATTTTCAATATTTGAATACATTTAAAGTTTTTTCATTTTACCCAGTGTAAAAAAAATTATAATTATTATTATTTTACAAGTATTACTAATAATTTTAAATTTAAATAACGAACATTTAAACATGCAATTATAAGAGTATAATATAAGATTTTTTTAAAATACTTTTAATTTTTTATTTTACTATGAATAGTTATGATAAAAATGTTTTTAAATTTTTCTTAAAATGATAATAATTTATCACAAAACTCACTTAACTCTTTGTTTGATTTTAGATGAGAGAACAAAGTACACATCATATAACTTACAACTCAACCATGAAATGTATCAATTATTATCGCTACAGAATATTAATTCTTGCAAAAAAATAATGTTTGTAAAAATAATCATTGAAAGAATAAAAATAAATAAAAACACTTTAGTTTTTAATTCTTATTCGAAATAAAAATTCATGAAAAAAAAAAAATGCAGGAAAAAATTAAGTCATTCAAAAATTAATAATAATAATATCATGCATTTTAAATAATAAACAATATGGATAAACGCAAAAACACATTGTTTAAAATACAAAAATTTTAATAAAAATTAATAATCAAATCAAACGACTCGAAAATGAAAAAAATAAATAAATAATATTCAAAACGAGTAATTTATATTTTTAAAATTGTTAAACATTTTTTCCTTGAAATGTGTTTTTTTCTACGTAACTAGCAAATGCGCTTGTAAATAATATAAACAAATCAACATAAAATCTTACCTCATTTAGCTTTAAATAATATATTTTTCAAATGTAAAACCAATATGAAAATATTCTTCGTCAAAAAGGTAGCAAACAATTAATTTAAACGGTAGCGTTGGAATTAAAAAATAAAAAACACGATTTTTCATTGAAAAACAAATTTTTTCACCATTTACACTTCACAACCTTGAGACATTTTTTTAAAAAAAATTTTTTTTTTATAACTTTAAATAATCACTAAATAACACTTTGTAAAAAAAAACAATTGTAAATATAAAAAACTATTTAAAAATAAAATAAATAATGATTTATAATAATTGTTTAAAAATAATTAATACCATTTCATTAAGAACCGACATTTTTCTCCTTATTATTTTAATACAAATCCACCGCCTTTTAAGAATTTTTTAATTCGAGGCTTTTTAATTCATAAAAATTTTATACATTTTTATAATAAATATAATTTTTTTTCCTTTTCTTTTTTAAAAAATAAAAAAATTGAAATAAACTATTTTAAATTAATCTTTAATTTTTTTTTAACGAGTAATTTTTTAATTAAGTAAATAACACTTAGCGTTCGTAATTGAAATATTTCCTTGTAAATTTTAATTTGTAAAATTTTTATATCGATTTAAACACTTTTTTAAAAATAAAATTTCACTATTTTAAGAACTAAAAATAAAAATAAAAAACACTGCTTTATAAAAAACTAAAATTCTAAATTTAAAAAATAAAATATTTAATTAAAAAAAAATTTAACCGAGCCGTCTTGAAAAAAGCATTCAAGGAGGTTTTATGTAATTTGAAACAAAATGGCTGAAGCGTCAACAATATTTAAAATTCAGTGTTTACTAAAAAAAAGTTTTTTAAATTTTTCAAATAAATTTCAAAGATAATTTTAATTTATTAAATAGGTTAGTGTTATTTTGTTTTAATAAATATAAATAAGAATTTTACTTTTGCTTTAAATTTTGATTTCATATTTAAATTAATGTTCGATTATTACTTTATTACCAACAAAGGGATTTGATTTACAAATAATTATTTTTAAGATAATATAATTAAAAAACAATTCTGATGACTCATAATATGTTTGTAAGCTCTCTTTTAATTACTAATTATTTTCTACTCTCTTTTAATTCTAATTACTTTAATTATTTTTTAAATAATTTTATTGTAAATGAAGTTTGAATATATTCTTCAGAAGCGGCTTTTGTAGTTTATATTTTGTTATACACTAAAATACATAAATATACGTTTTTTATTTTTCAACTTTATTATTTACTGCAACATTTCACAAAGAATTACTTTTTTTTTTTCAGATTGACATTCATTCAAAATAAAGTGAAAAATAATTCTTATGGAGTTTCTTTATGTCTTAATAAATGTAATTCATTTATATACAATTCTTAAACCAAGATGACTAAGTTAATATTTGAATTAGTATTTTTATTATTTTTATATAATCAAAAAAAATGCTTTGCTCAAGAAAAAGAAGATCAAACACTATCTTCTTCTGCAGGCTATTGTGCATTATATAGAGGTGAAATATGTAAAGATTATTTGGTTGGTAGTGGATATGTATGGTTTAATAAATCCCACGATGGAGGATGGCTCAATGAGCAAATAACCACTAATTTGTGGAAGGAAATTATTGTAAGTCTTAAGGAGCCTTGTTTGAGTGCAGCTAAGAAATTACTATGTGCTTATGCTTTTCCTCAGTGTTCTCTACAAGATAACAATGCTATTGGTTTGCCACTTTGTGCAGAAGACTGTACAGCAGTAAAGCATTTATTTTGTCATAACGACTGGGCTCTTATAGATTACAATAAACGCAGAGGTATTTACCTGAAATCAAAAGGACATTTTACTCTTCCCAATTGTGAAAATTTACCTTCATTTAAAAATGCTAAAAAACCAATTTGTTCACATGCTAAGTTAACTGAAATGCCTAAAGAAGAAATAACATATGATTGCATAAAAGGTCGAGGAAGATTTTACCAAGGAAATATTAATCACACTCAAGATGGCATTTTGTGTCAACGATGGGATTCTCAAGAACCTCACATACATTTAAGACCGCCTAATGTTTTTCCAGAAATAGAAAATGCTGAAAACTTTTGTAGGAATGCAGGTGGAGAGGAACCCACACCTTGGTGCTACACAGTTAATTCCTCTATTCGATGGCAGCATTGTTCCATTCCTGTATGTGAAAATTCGACAGGTTTTAAAGTGAATTCGGAAAATAATTTTTTTTCGCCATTTTTACTCACTCCTTACAACATTTTAATTTTTGGAGCGGTGGGATGTGCTTTTCTTATTGTAATCCTATTGATTTGCGTACTCTTTCGAAAAATTCGTAAATACCAAAGCGGGTATAATAATCCTAATTTAAGAGACATTAATATTGATCTTGAAGAACTTCCGAGTAATCAAGCCTATCACAAAACGGGAGCACAATTAAATCCAAAATTAGAAAAACTAGAATTTCCTAGAAATGATATTATTTTTATTCGTGATTTGGGACAAGGTGCATTCGGAAGAGTTTTCCAAGCCAAAGCTCCCGGTTTGGTTAAAGGAGAAGAATTCACATTGGTGGCAGTTAAAATGTTAAAAGATGAAGCCTCGCCCGATTTGCAAGTCGATTTCGAAAGGGAAGCTTGTTTGCTCGCCGAATTCGATCATCCGAACATAGTAAAACTTCTCGGTGTTTGTGCCATCGGGAAACCGATGTGCTTGTTGTTCGAATACATGGGACGGGGAGACCTGAACGAATTCCTTCGATCATGTTCTCCGAGCAATTACATCGTGCGGAGCGTCGACGATTCCGGTGATTTTTTCAAAGACGTCAGACTTCAAACCTTAGATTTATTGAGCATCGCGAAACAAGTTGCTTCGGGAATGGTTTATTTATCCGACAGAAAATTCGTACACAGAGATCTCGCGACGAGGAATTGCCTTGTCGACGACAACATGTCTGTTAAAATAGCGGATTTCGGTCTGTCGCAAAAAATATACTTGCAAGATTATTACAAGGGAGACGAACACGATGCCATACCGGTTAGATGGATGCCGTTGGAGTCCATCTTATTCAACAAGTACACAGTCGAGACTGATGTTTGGGCCTACGGAGTCTGTCTCTGGGAAATTTTTTCATTCGCTCTTCAGCCCTACTACGGAATGAATCACGAAGAAGTCGTCAAGTACATAAAGGAGGGTAAAATGTTATCGTGTCCCGATAACACCCCGTGGCAAGTATACGAATTAATGAAGCAATGCTGGAATAGAAAGCCTCAGGGTAGACCATCGTTCAGAATGATTTGTCAGACCCTTGATAGCATCAAAGATGAATTAACCAAAGGTATGAACAGTTTATACATAAGTCGCTAAAAGAGAGACAAAAAAAAAAAAAAAATTTTTTTATATATCTAATGCTCACGTTTGCCGTAACACCAACTTCTTATTTTTACTTTTTTTTTTTTTTATTTATTTACGTGCGTTTTTTACACT